AGTTTTTTTGCTTTTCTTATTCTTCTAGCAAAATATAAATATTGATAATATAAAATTCGAATAGATATAGAAGATAAAAAAGGATTAGGATTTAGTATTATGGCAAGAGATATTTGTTTAATAATAAATACGTGACGTTGCTTGTGTACTATGTGTTATTAGTTATTAATTTGGTTGCATGGTTGATTATTGATTATTAAGAGCAATTAAATTTGTTTGATATAGATATGTGGTGTTCGAACTGATGCAAGTTAGTTTGATTGAAAGATAATTAAACGTAAATAGAACGATCAAAGGGTAAGAAAAGTAAGAACAGTTGGATAAATTTGTGATATATATAATATTTCAATTTAATCAACAATATTTATTTAAATTTCCCTTAGGAAAATATAATGCAAATGCCTTCTTTGATTAAAAAATGTTTCTAATTATTTCTTATAATTTTTCTGTTATTCTCTTAGATTATATATTTTTTTATAAATAATATAAATGTATATGTAATTAATTATTTTTGTATTTAAAAATAAATTAATTACATTTAATAACTTTACAAAAAAACTAATTATATGCAATTAATTATAATTAATTAATAATTATCGGATTATAAGAAATGCAAAAAAGATAAAAATAAAAAAAAAAGATTTTAAAAATGATTATGATCAATATAAAAAATTTCTATAATTATTTTTATTATATTTTATTTTTATGATATATTTTGTATAAAAATAAGTAGATGTATATTAATTAGATTAGTTTTAAAAATAATCAATTTTTAACTTTGCTACATCTTTTGGATGAACTTTCGATTCAATCGTCTTTTCGACATATTTCTTTCCATTTATTAGAAAGTTAATTTTTCCGTTTCATTCTAGTATGGTAATAATAAATTCGAAAAGAGTAGCGGGGTTGAAGCACCCTTAATTGATTATTGGTGTTGTCGAATGACGTAGGATACTATTATGGCCGTATACGTGCCATTGGATATCAGATTATCAGAATTCTATCTTATACAGGGTGTGACCAAAAAAAATATTGCGATCATTTTTCATTACACTAGAATTATTAAACTGGAAGAAAATATTAATCTCATGTGTTATTATTAGACTATGAATTTTTATGCAAATATGTATTTTCCACACATGTTTTGCATATTTTATGTGAAAATTATATAATGTTACGAAAAATGAATATGTTATATCGTGTATTTTTTCTCTCGTATTTTTGTAGTTTTCTCGTAGTTTTGTTTGTATGAAATGTAAATATTAGAAATAAATTTAAATAATATTTTACAATTTAAATTAAATCTTATTTAAATTTAATATAATTCATTATATATCTTGATATAAATCGATTTACTTTAGATTGAAAGTAAATTTTTTCAGATATTAATTTAATTGAATAAATTTTTGGATCATTATAATCCTAAGTTTTAAAGCATCATTAAAGGATTGCAATTGCAATTCCCTTAAAATTATTATTTTAGTTTTCCAAATTCTACTTTGAGACATCTAAATAAGCAGTTTCATTCATGCTGTTCTCTATGGAACCAAACACTTCCCACATGTATTTTATTGTCTACATCCATTTTCATGCGCATATAAATACTATTACTTTTGAGAATAGAAAATTTTTTTTAGGAATTTTTTTTTCTCTCCTTTATTTTTTCATTAAAGAAAAATGATTAAAATTAATGATTAAAGTTTCTCGTGTTTTCTCTCCAATTCTTAAAGATTGTTACTTTAAATTTAAAGGTATGTACAAGATATCCAATATATATGATAACATTTATAAAAATCTGTTTTTAGAAAGTATAAGTTTCTCTTTTTATAATTTTGGTATTCTTATTAATTAAAGCAAATAAATTATCCTTCAATCTTTCCTTTTATGTCAAATTTCATGTAATTTCTGATCGATTAATACGTACTAGTATCATTAAACAGTTATTCATTTGTAATCAGACAAAAGTGGTTTGGATCCCACGCTTAGGTGAGTCACCTAGTACAATAGCATCATGCAGTAATCCATCGACTTTAAAGGATGTCGCGAATTACGTAGTTTTGACGTATTTTTATTGATCACGAAGTTTTCAAGAGTTAAAGCAAGAAATCCGATAGAAGTGCATCGACGTCACTTTCCTTCGATTTTTCGAAAATTATTATAGCTTTTTGGAAACTTGTTCGATATTTTGATATTACTCAAACAAATAGGATTAAATTTTGAAAAGAAAATGTTTTGTAAAAATTTTTTGGCATTAAATTACAAAATATTAATTAAAAAAAAATTTTGACAGAAAATATTTATGATTAATTGATTACTTGGAAATTTAATCAAATTCTTATTTTAATAGATTTTTGTATAATTTCTGTTTGCAAATATTTATAAAATGATTTGTTTTCTGTTATTTTATATGTCTCACGTTTTCTCAGAAATGGATAAGATAGAACTTCTGGTAAAGGAAAAGATTCATAAATTACAAGAAATTGATAATGAAATTTTTTTTTCATTATGAATTTTTTTTCATTAGAAAAATCCAAGAATTTTTCTTCAAAGTAACATTCATTCTATAAAGAATGTGAAATGAATAATATATATAATAAAATATTAATTTCAAATTTATTCAAGAAATATCTACAATATTATTTTAGATATAATTTCTACAATTTTCTCAACTTAAAAATTTTTCATCATTCAAATAATAAAATTCTTTATGACGAAACTTTCAACTTCAAAATAAAAAATATTATTATTAAATGTTTGTTAATCTTTAAGTAAATATATAAAAATATTATTAAAATTTCTCTTTTTACTTTTAAAATGGTCATTTCTCGCCACTTATTTTAATTTGAAAAATAAATAATTTATCCAATTAGCGTTTCAATTTCCTCTTGAATATTTGTAAATGTTGTTGGAATATATGTTAGTTGAGAATACGTGATAAAAATACATTGTGAGATTTTTCACATGAACGTTCGTGTATATTGTTAATACATAATTACAGTAAATAAATTAATATACATAAACATCTGTTTATCTTTATATGTAATTTATACAAATATTCGTTCTTTAAAAAATACGATGCATACCAGGAATAATTAAGAAGAATTCAAAGGATAGTTGGAAGATCGCAAAAGTTTTAATTGTTGAAATAATTGTTAAAGTTTTAATAGAATTTTAAAAGATACAAATCTCCTTCTATATTCATTTTTGCTTTACCTTATCGTGAATCAGGCGAGGTAAATTAATGATAATACCTGTAAGAAAACAAGGGAAGATTTTTATTACATGACTGTGATGTCTATACATTATTCAACTAGGCAAGAATTTAATCGATAATTTTCTATCTCGATTTTTCTATCGTTGGATATGAATACGGCGATAAATATTAATGCACTCCTGTGTCGAAATCGTGTTATTAAAGTTTATGAATTATTTTGAATTTTTATGCTTGAATGTTCGAGGAGAAGCTTTAAAATTTTATCATTTCGCGTATTTCAGATTCATACTTTGAAAAATTTCAATTTCAAACTCGATTCCAAAGTATTTTTCGCTTTTTTGAGTACATTCTTTTATATATATTATATTCGTCTATAAATATTTATAATTAATTACAATAATAATTTAATTTATTATTATTTTACAAATATTATATATTTATTTTAAATTTATTATTACAATTATTTTAACATTTTCTTTTATAAAATCTTTTTAATTTTATTAATTAGAAAATCCAAAAGGATTAGTTTCATAAATGCAAAAAAATATTTTTATCCTCTCTACATTTTCATCTCATGAATATTTCATATGTGTATTCAAATAATACATGTCAGTATACGGATAAATTAAAAAACATTTCCTCTCGATGTTAAAATATTGCTAAAATATTCACAGAGAAAAACATTGCATGCATTTTATATCTATATATATATGATTTTATATATTAATCATTACGAGTTATTTTTACAAAAATATTACAAATATTTTTAATCTATATTTTATCATATATATTCGAAAAAAAAATAGAAAAAAATAAAAAAATTTCAATTTGCAACACGTTTCAAAATAAGTAATAAAATTTTCAAAAAAGAATATCGCATGCTTCACTATAATGGAATTGGTTAATTCGATGAACGACAACGAATCGATAACGAAGAAAGGAGCTACTCTCTTTAAGGATCGATATTACTACGTATACATAGATATTTCTTAGCGTAGCCAGGAACACGTAGAATGCCTGACGACGCGACGTAATGCACGGGTCGGTTTGATTTTCTGCTTCGTTCGAAGGAAGAGGTGGAAGCACGAGGGCAACCACCCCTGTTCGAAAGAAAGAATTCATAACTTTATTGTCATCGGTTCTTGAACTTGCCTCTCTAGATGGCTTCCCGTTAGATTTCTTCTTTTTCATTGTTTCACCACTATACTGTGACGTCTTACATTCTTTCTTCTTGCATTGAATCGTAGAACGTTGTTATTGGGAGTGAAAATATGATTTGTAATTTTTTAAAAATGAAAAAATTCACATTGTTAAAATTAAACTTAATATAATTAAAAATAAATTGATATTTTCTCTTTTTTTTTTTTTTTTTTTACTTTAATTAAAATAAATTTAAAGTTGAACACATTTTTAAGTTTAATAATAACTAAATTTTGTCATTAATAATTTTGAAATTAATTCAATTTTACAAATTTTAATATTGTATCTAAATTAAAAAAAATTGAATTAACTATATTCTGCATTATTCTCTAAATATTTTCATTTCATTCATTTCATTTTTAGCATTATTTAGCATTATAAAAGCTTATTATTTATATTAATCAAATTATTTATATAATTTATTTATGCCATTATACTATAACTGAATAATTTTATACCATTTAAACAATTTTTTTTTTCTTTTCGTATTAATTTTCGCATTAAAAATAATACATTTTTTTTAAGATATATTATAATATAAATTTCACTGATACATATAAAATATCTTTTTTTGTTTTATTTGCAGAAAGAAACGTGATGTCCTGGAATATTTGGATTTGTGCACGGATCCGCCCGTTCCTTTGCCCGCGTCTTGTCATTCAAAAATACACTCATATTCGCATTCTGCGTGCGATTGTTATTGCAAAACTCGTGTGCCGATAGCGCGACAAAGGGAGGAAATTCAATCTGGAAGAAGTTGCATTAGATGTTCTATATCTAAAACGAAGACTACCAGAAGTGGAAACAAAATTCCTTTGCTTTCTTCAAGAGTTATCGACGATGAACCTGTAAGATATTATTTTTCAATAATTTATCGATTATTTTCAATTTAATTTTATTTTATTCATTTATATTCTTCATATTATATATAATAATTTTTGTATTATTCGATTATTATTTTAATATTATTCGATTATTTAATATTTTTCAGCTTGATACCAAAAGATCTGTGACAACACTTCCAGTTTCTCCAATTCTTAGTCCAGAGACATTGGCAACTCTTGAGAGCGTAGAAAAATTAATCAAAGATGCCGAGATTCAAATGAAAGAAATAAGCATGACTACAAGCTCTGGTCGTTTACAAAAATGCACAACTATGTAAGTATTATACATAATAATAAAGTATATATAAAAATAATATATTTTAAATTATTAATTAAATTTTATAGAAGATGTCTAATTTTATATAACATCTGATGTTTTGATGGACGATTATTTATACTCGTAACGAAAAATGTTTCATATAAAAATTGAATGGTTTCAAGAACAGTATATTCTGATATTATTTATAGTCTTGTAGATAAACGTGTAAGAGTATAAGAGTCAAATTATTATTTTTAAATAAAATCATATGTATATTTTAATATATTAATAAATATAACAAATTATTTTCTATAAAAAAGTATTAACTAATAATTATTAGTTTAAGAGATATTTAATTACATTCAATTATCTCTTAAATTAATAATTTTTCAATTTTATGAGCTAATACTTTTTTATAAAGAATAACAAAAAACAAGGATTTATTTATTAAAAAATATATGATTTTATTTAAAAAAATTAAATTGAACTTTACAATTCTTTTACACACCTACAAAAAAGACAATAACATCAGATAAAAGCTATTTTGAAACAATTTAATTTTTATTTGAAGCAGAATTTTAATAATGCAGAAAAATGGCAGTATTTATTCAAAAAGGTAAGTATAAAGGTAAGTACCTAGAATTAAGAAAACTGTTGAAAAAAAGAATAAAATCTAAAAAAATGACTGTTGGAACAAGTATGCAAGGTAGGTATGGAACAGGTAAGTATAAAAAAATATCGAAACCTCCATTCGAATTATATTCTAGTGATACAAAGTCAAAAATTTGTAAAAATTTAATATGTCAAACTATTAAAAAATTCGACTTTGTATTAGGAGAATATAATTAGGAGGTCGTTCGAAAAATTTTTTAACAAATTTTTTAATAATTCTTGAAAATAATATCAAATTCTTAGAATTTTTATAATTTTCGAAATTTTAAAGCCCTGGCGTTAAATAAACAAACATTGCTTTGTTTATTTACATTTTCAATGTTTATTTACATTCTCGGTTTGTTTATTTACATTTTCAATG